GTGTGGTTTCCGGAGTGACACTGAAAACCACCCCCCATGTGGGGTATCAATGCCATACATGGAGTGTCTGAGTCTGACCCTCTGAGTCGTCATGCGCGGCTCCGCCACTCTGGTTGAAGAAGAGCCACCCAATGAGCTGTTCAGCAAGACACGAAAGGCGCCCGCTTTAAAGGAGAATGGCCATATCTATGGGAATGGTCTCTTCTTATAGGCTAATATAGGTGCTTAAGGCATTTAAGGATTAAGGATGATATTACCATAGTCATTTCTAGAGCCAAGGAATTCAGGAACTGTCAAACCTTGCATTAGATTGGCCAGCCAACTGACTGTACCCGTTGAAGCTTCACCGTCATTTTGCTTGTACCAACGACACAGGAAAAATTCTGGGCAGCATAGAATCATGGACCAACGACACAGCAGCGACTGCGGCAACTCGGGAGTCTCTGCAGCTCTAAAAAGTCTGACCGATTGTGCTGGCCGGTTGTACCTCATCCTGCCTCACAACCCACCCACCCAAAAAATGACACATCCACCCATCATCCTGCCTCACAACCCCCCACATCCACCCATTGTACACATTGTACAACCCACCCCCCCAAAACATACTGTTTTGGGGGGCCCCTTGGTGCCACTGCCAGAGGAAGTTCGAACGGAAAGGTCCGCCCCGTCGTGTCCCTCTTTGGGAGCGTGGCTGCCGGTCTCTGCCGGCCGCTTCACAAGCTCCTGGCAGACCCCGAAAATCCGGACACAGTGACCCGGAGTGCCCTGTGACAAACGTCAGACACCTTAAGGCTGAAAGGACCAAATCCAGATGTTCTGGAAAAGAGTCAACATGACTTACAATCTTGTGTTCATTTCCCAAACATCTTCCGCACAGGAGCAAACAAATGCAAACAACATCAAACAACCATATCTTCAATGTCGTTGTGAGAGCTGCTCGTGATGTTCGTAGTGCTCAAAACAACGATTTTGCGGCCCTAGAAGGACGAGGATGCTCACCACATGGACGGGAGTTGCTCGCGCCAAATGGACTGCAGACACCAAAGAACGGTGCATAAACAAAAGAACATGGGTCTTGTATGGTATTGTTGAACTGGTGCACTTGTCCAATCAACTTGCAAATCTTCTTCCCCAACCATTGCTGCTAGAGGGGGTTCCTATTTCATCCTCCTTCCAACACGCACGTATCGGATGGAGTACGTAGGTGAACCAAATGGTGAACCTTGGTGACGAAGACCGCCACCTGCCGTGGCTCTAAATGCCTCCCACGTCGTCACATCGATGGTTCCAAGTGTCCCAAGCGTCGACCCCACCAAGCGTGATGGCCGAAGCCACCGGTGCGTTTTCGGCCGATCCGTCGGAGCTTGCAGGTTGCAGGTGGATGATCAGGTTTTTCGAAAAAGCACCTGTGCCCCTCGGTCCAACTGCAGAATCCTCAGATCCGATGTGTTTCTTGTGGCACGAGAAGTTCTGGGGATCCCCAGAGGTTCGATGGCACGTTTCCCCCATGATGTCCTAGATGGGCCATGGGGGTCCATGATGGCACCACCGACCTTGGGGGTCTGTGCCATTGGTCCTCTCAATCCGCTGTCGCCGATCCCTCACCTGTCCCGCTCCACACCTCAAGGCGGGCGAAGCCGAAGCCTCCCTGTACCTGGAGAGGCCCCCATCCCTCGGGCCAGTCATCACGAAGAGAGGACCGGATCGAGTGTTCTGTTGGAAGTGGATGGCATGGCCGCCATGGCCCCAAACAGGTTTAGTCTTCCACTTCCATGGAACTCGTCTTCCGTTCGTGGCGGATGAATCAGTCGAACTCCCTCGAACTCAGCACGGCAACCCGGGACCAGTGAGTCCAATTGAGTCCTCGGTCTCACCATGTCCTCGGTCCCTGCGCGACAGCGACAGGCCAGTGCTCAGTAAGAAGAGTCCGGAGGTCGACTCCCAAAATGGAACTCGAACTCGAACTGGACTGGCAACATGGGTGACAACGGGGTATTTAGGCACCTTGGGTGGCTCCAGGATCTTCCAGGTGGTTTTTCTGCCTCGGATTGACCAAGACTAAGCAGGCCGGTCGGTCGGTCGATGGCCCAACATGAGCCCTACCACCCCACAGCCTCCTCCAGCAGATCTTGCATCCGCTGCTGCATTGGCGCCATAGCGGTACACATGCCCGGCCCGCGCGGGAAACGCGCGAGCAACGCGTGGGAGGGGAGCGACAACGAGTCGTCTGAGGTTTTCAGGTCTTCGTGTAGTTGTTGGCCTTGAGTTCGTAGGACAACCTCCGTCAGTTGTGGCTAGCGGGGTGTGGTTGTGCACCGTGCAGGAAGTTCCAGATCTTCGAAAGTCTCCAAAGTGGGAAATTCGGATCTTTGGTCTCAAATCCAAAGATCCGAAGCTCGGACCCGGAGCCTCTGTGCTGACCGCCGGTTCGGAAGCCAACCAATGGTCCAAGGTCTGAGGGTGGCAGAAGGGGTGTTTGACGCCCGAAATGCGGAACAAAGAACAAGTCTCCGTTGTGGTCGGTGTAAGAAGCCGTTAATGGCAACGCTTCCACATGGAAAGCCAAATACATGCAGTACAAGGTTTCATAATGTTTCATCTATCACCGGGTAAGGTGTGAAATGCTGTGTTTCAAGCTTTGTTTCAAGTCTTGAAGTAGTTATATACTTGAAGTCTTGCAGTTGTCATGCTTGTTCTGAACCAAAGGGCTCGTTCTTCAGAGCGATTTGTCACAAACATCTCAAAGGATCTTATCCAGAAAAGGTCAACTGAGTCAGGGCCCTCTCAGTGGAAAGCTGGTCATCATGGCATCCCTCCTCTGAGAGAAAGCTCCGACCTTTTACTTGCAAGGCATCATGCGGGCAAAGCTTTGGCCAATGGATTCAACTGCCTTTCCACTGCCTTTCCAACTCTTCCTCTGTTCGACCGCGCATTTGTGGCGTTTCTACCATATCACAATCCATGGACACCTGTCCATATATACCACGACATCGCGGCCAGACCTGCGGTATCCAGCGGTCAACAGGTGTGCCAAGAGCATGCCTCTGCTTTCAGCCTTTCGCCTTTTTCTCATCACCGGAGGTCTATCAGACCTGTAACGCTGAGAATCATCATGCAGACCGGGAGGCACATGGCCCAGTGAGGAAAGCATCCAGCTGCCGGGACTGTCAAATGCTGCCCAGTCCAGTGGATCCAGTCCAGTCCAGTGGATCCTTTGACGAATCGATTTCTGTGTCATTGGATACGTATGTGTGTCCCGTGTGTTTCCAAGATTTCAACTGGTATGACTCCGCCGCCTCAGGATATCGAAACGAACACATATGGCTAACGAACTCCACGAAGGATGGCCTTGGGAACTGACCGGCAAACAGGCCCCAACAGGCACCAACCATACGCCAAACCAAGCCGCGATTCGCAATGCAACAGGTGCAGTATCATGTGTCTGTGCCGTGGGGTGAGACAAGGGACAGGTGTGCCAAGCTTCGGTGTGGAGGGCCCTCGAAGTACATCCAAAGCATCTGAACACAGTCACACAGTGCTCTCAATGTAGGCTTCTCAGATGTTGAGACTGTCATCAAGCGGCGATTTTCTCTATCAGCACCGTCCGACCTTTTACTAAACGTCCATCATGCGAGCCAAGAAAAGCACGGCAAACAAGCACCCAAGGCAAGAGGAAGGCAACTATCCCACAGTTGCCTCTCCACCACTCAACCTAGACTTGCATGCTCACTGTGATGAGAGCAGTTGGTTCACCCCGGGGCTTGGTGCTCTCAAGGAGTTTGCAAAAGCACATGAAGCATCTCAAGGCATCTCAGACTTTCGCCTTTATGTCTTCAGCCGTTTGAGCTTCAGACCTGTAACGCATCTGGTGCATCATGCGAGCTCATCTGGATACGCCACGACACACATGCAAGATACGCCACGACAGGGTCAGATCTTGAGTGTGTCCCCTTACCTATAACAGCCAAGATCAGATCCAAGATTAGCCGTCCGGCCCATCATTGTGAGGTCCGTGCTTGGTTGATATGCCAACATGCGCGTGGGAACTGCAGCAAATGACCCTACCCTGTGATGGATACTGATGGTGGTGGTAGAACAGGACCTCTACCAGGACCACCCCTTCCACCATCGATAGACTACCACTACACTAGTGGTCACTAGTGACTTCGGACACCGCGGCAAGAAATGGTTCAGGTACTTTGTAATTAACTCTTTCTCCGCGACTAGTGGGACCGGGCCCCGCAGCCCTGTGCAGGTTGAAACCAGCTGGGACCGGGCCGATCGGGCCTGCCCTGGCACCCAACTCTCATCGTTGGGAGGACGGAGGGTTGGAGACAGTGACTGCCACCCTGTTAAGGTTTTTTCAGCCTTTAACGAGAGGAGTTGGGCTTCAAACGAGTGGAGAACATCCTTGAGTCTCCAGGACAAAACCATGTTAAAAAGGACAGCATCCCTGGTGAATCAGGAATCAATCTCAAGAATTTCTGAATGCACACGGCCATTTCACCACCGATTTCAGTCACCCGATCATGGCATCACCATCCAGCTGGTCATCCAGCTGGTCATCGCCGTCCTATTCCCAGTAACGATGAGAGTTGGGTGCATGGAATAGTTACCTACATTAGGGTCATGAATGGGGTCAATGTATGTAACTATTCCAGTCCCATGGAGTGTCTGGGGTATCATCCCCGAGGCTCCCCCTTCCCACCGACTTTCCACCCGAACTTGAACAGCCAGATAGACCCATCCAACCATCTCAGCCAGTCACCAAGGGTAAGATTGATCCAACCATCCAACATCATCCAACCATCTCACACCTTTTGAGCCTTCAGAGTTCTGTGACCGCGGTCTCCACACATCAAATCAAGTATACCTCGTCTGACCATCTGACCGGACCCGGTCGTCTGAGAACAGACACGTCGGGAGTCGGGACGTCGGGACGTCCATCTCTGACGGCACGGTGCCCTCGGAAAACCCCCCTGGGACAGGCGGTGCCGCGCCTGGGACAGGGGTGTCTTCTTCGAGCCCACCCAACTCACCGGTGGCTTCGGCACGGAGCCCTCGGTGGCAATTTCGTGCCGTGAGGGGGACGGTCGGGCGGGATTTGGGGGGACGGTGAAAGTAGATGCCAGGCCCCGATGTTTGTTGACTGTATATTATAGTTGTAAGATGTTGTAAGGGGTCATTACAATGTCAATAATAGGTTAATAGTTGTACTTTATATCTCATTGTGTCATCCATGTTTTCAGTACTTACTACTTTTGGTTGACGTTTCAGAATTTCAGGAGACTTTTGAGCTGAGTGGGACCCCGAAAGTTTTCTGAAAAATCAACCACCCCCAAACTGGTCCGTCATTTGATGCCAGTCCCCTCAAGGGGTCGCAAAAAATGATAAAGACGTGTAAAAAGCCATGTCGACCCAATGCACTGGCTCCAAACCGGGACATCCTGGTTGACCGAACATGAACAGAAGGAACGACGACCAATTACCAGTAACTCCATGACCAACCAGCGCTGGCACAGGGCACCCCTCCGCCGCACCGGCCACGGGTGTCCCAGACCGAGCTGAAGGGAATTCCACGTGCCTCGCGCGTCAGCGACGACGGGGCGGGCGGGGAAGCCAAATGGGAAGAAACAAACATGACCGCTCTCCGCAGCCCACTGGATGGCTAGGTTTGAAGATCAGGTTTGGAGTGCGTGATAAAGTAAGCCTGGATAAAGTATCCACTGCTACAAATACTCATGATCTGAACCATATATGATCCAAAGTTGACAACTTTGACTAGGTCGACTTTCACCCCAAAATCCAACATGTGTAGATAGAGGCCATGGGAAATGTGAAATGTGGGGAGACGATCTGCAAGGCCTTTGCCGCCGCTATACTCACTAGTCCCCCCCAACACGTCAAACGACTAGTGTCCAAGTCACCGCGTCACCATGCGTCACTGTGTCACCGACTTCTGACTTTCTATCATATTCAAAAAAGTTAAAAAGAAACTCCCTCCGCGCATCGCGGCACTTGCGCGGCACTCCCTTTGCCCCAAACCACTCTCCGCCGAAGGGCGGCGTTCCGCATGGCGGGCAAGCCCAAGTCCTGGGCACTGCGCATTGGATCTTTGAGAAACGGCGCAGGGTTCGGTTGTACACGCCTGGGTTGTAGTGCTCAAGAGTGTGGGAGGCTGCCCAAAGGTGCATCTTTTTTCAACATGGGGAGATGTTGAAGAAGAGTTCCGGCGAGATGGAAAAGTTCGAGATGTTCAAGCACAAGGACCAGCCACGTTGGACCAGCCAAGGACTTTGCACGTTCATGCTTTTTCAAGGTGGGCTCGACGACCGCCGGGGCAATGTGTGAAGTCCGGTTTCAAAGGATTAAGAATACCATAATAGAATGTCTGTATACCAGGTACCCCACCGAGTTCAAGAAATTCATGAAGCCCCCCCACTGCGAAAACACTGCGAAGCATCCAAACTAAGAGTTGCAGGACGGATCTTCTCCATCTCCACCACCCTCAAGGCGCCACAGCAACTCATCCAACACTGTGCGGGATCCTCCCTCTCCCGCTCCCCGGTCCTTCAACTGCGAGTCCCGTAAGGCCTCGCTGGCCTGGACCCGTGTGGAGAAGCCGATGGATGCGCCATCCGTCCGTCCGTGCGTGCGAGGTGTCCTGGACTGAGGAGATCCCTTGTTCTACGACTTGGGCATCGGCATCATAACGAGTCCAAACAGGACACCCCAGGCGGATGGTCCTGGTACCTGGACACCCCACAGTGGGCCGGAGGGGGCGGAGGAACCGAGGAACGTGAAGAAGTTCCGGATGTTGGGGCGTCGAACCCGTAGCCGTAAAGTCATTGCGAGAGGAAAAGTACCCTCAAGCCTCAAACATCCTAAACCAATTGGTCGGAGAATCTCCCTGTTCCATTGGACTAGTGACTAGTCCTTCAGCACGTCTTCCCACGAGTCGTTGTGGGCCTCCCATCGAATGCACCAAGAAAACCGATCTAGAAGGCTTCGCGGGCTTCGTCCACACCGATCTATGTTGGAGGCTCTAATCCATTGAATTCATCATCTTCAAGGGGGCGACCGACCCGGTCTGACCTCCCACCGGTGTTCGGTTCGCCACCGTTCGCCACCATCGGGCTCCAGGTGCCACTGGAGGAGTGTCGGGTCGAACCAATCCCGTTCCGGGACCGGTCGGACTGGAGTGGTGAGCGTCTGGGTATGTCTGGGTCGTCAACGTGGGACCATGAGGCTTGGTGCGGGGCCCGGTCCCTGCCCATTCTCCTCTCGGGTTTGAGATCCATCGAGTTACAGAATAACTTTGGGCGGCTGTTGGGTCGTGGAACATGATGGTACAGTACAGCAAAAAGGCAAGAGACTGTGGACTCTCTCAAAACAACGAGCAAAAATAGACATTCGATGTCTTTTCTCATTTTCTGTATAAACATTTCGTGCTGAACTGGCAGTGTTTTCTTGCTGACACCTGGTTCAAAGCGACTCAATGTTGGACCTTGGAGAATTCACGATGTCAGACTCAATCACCAATGTCATACAAATTCTATGGCAATTCTTCAGCCCTTTCAGCTTGTCCAGTGGTGTCAACCGTGCAGCTTCGACTTCCACATCTCCAAGCTCACCAGCGTCACCAGACCCACGGTCCCGTCGAGCCACCTGTGCCGGCATCTTGGAGTGTGCCTGCAGCATCGGCCATCGGTGAGCAAGCGGAAACCACCTCATGCCAACTAAGAGAATAAGAATAAGACTTCTCAGGAGCATTCCATCGGCGGCGTTTTGGGATGGATAAGAATTATACTGCGGCTTGTGGTCCGAGTTCCACCAAAGAGTCTGGTGCAAAAAGCAGAAGTACACCATCTCGCTTTGGTCAAAGAACAACTTGGTCTTGAAACCTTCAACAAACCTCTACGATCGTCCCTCAGCACCCTCCAGAGCTCATTCAGGAGCACAAAACTTTGGTTGCTGAAAACGGGTCAAACATTGGTCAATACTCTTAAGCTTCTAAGTTTTTTTGTTACAGTCCCTTCCCTGAACAAAGGGTCCTTGGAATTCTGTTGATGTCCTTGTGACTGATACAATACTCATGACACTCCATGTATCGCACATAGTTGCCAATCAGTTGGGGTGGTTTTAGAGGTCAACGTAGGCACATGCCATACATGCTTGGGATATATATATATATATATATATCAGAATTCCCAAGAAAATGCTCGTGTCCATTCCATGTCACTCCCTGCCCATGCGTGATTGGCCTCGAGTTCGTGCTTCCTGGTGCGTCCCTGACCGCAGCAGTCGGGTGATTTGTACATCCAGACGAAGGCGGGGCGTTGTGGGGAAGTGAAGATAGCCCTGTTGTTCAAGAGATCGAAACCGAAACACACCTGAGTCAGATCCTGAATGTAGAGGATCTAAGAGTCCTGCTCACGAATCATTTATGACGTTTTGTTTGGATGTTTTGCTTTGGACCCATCTCTACACAGGGCGAAAGGGTTCTCTCTCCTGGGAAGCAGTAGCTCCAGTGCCAGTGCTATGCTTTCGTGGAGAGAGTCCGACAGTCCGACAGCAGCCCCCGCTCTGGCAGCACACACCCTTGTTGATCCATTTGCTTCAGCTAGTCTTCTGCTAGTCTTCCAAGCTCCTTAGATGAAGGATGGAGGGAATGGAAGACCGGTGGATTTACATCCGTGCCTGCAGGTCACTCTGATTCAGACACTCTCCAACGGACAAAACTGAAGGCACACGATCTTGAGGGCCATTGATTCCAAAACTGCTGTGACAATGACTTCGTGCCGTCATGGCTGTGATCCTTCGTGACTGGAGGATGACCCATCCACTTTGCACGGGTCGAGTCATGGTTCAATAGCTTAGTCGACAGGTGAAATCACCTCCCCAAGCGTCAGACCCAGACCTCTTTCACTTTTGACTCTTGCGATAGCCAACCACCCCTACACCATCCCAAACACTAAACCCAGACCCAAAATGAATCCAACTGAAACCCAAACTGACCCGCCCAGACCGCTGCGGTCTCCCCACATCGAATCTAGTCCCGTTGGCAAGCGAAAGGGATCGCCCTTGCGTTGCGCCGACAGGGCGGTCTCCAGGGCTGGTGAGGGCAAATAAGAGTTCAGCTCCTCGCACCTGCGGGGAGCGAAGAGCGTCGGCGCAGAAGGTGCCGACTGAACGGAGCGCAGACGAATAGCTGGGAGCTGGGAGTCACATCCAGATCACTGTTTAACGAGTGCGGCGTTGGTTTTCTTGAAGAAAGAGTAGCAAGTTCCGTGGATCTACCGAACGCATCGATACTACGTCTTCAACTCACTGGTGTGAGTACACAAATGTGGGGCGCGACGCAAAGTGCGAATGGATTTGGATGTATAAGTTGAATCGAGTTCCCGCTATCCTCACAAAGTTGCCAACAAAGAAGAATGGTGTAGGAGTCGATACGCCTAAGGTCCTAAGACTTGCCAAAGACATGGTGAGTGGCAGCGCAGTTGATTGCATGCCAAGTGATTTTAGAGCGGACCTTTTACACCCCCGAAGCCACCCTAGCGGTGGTAATACGGATTCACCCTGGAGCTCACGGGTCTGACGTTGAATCATGCCAAAAATGCTTTCGGTTCTGCCCTCAAGTTCCGATTTAACTGAACCCCCCCACCCTCTGTATGTGTGCTTCGACATGCAGCCAGCTTCACCAGCCTAATCAACAGCAGCTTCACCAAGGGATGCTCCAAGGGGAATGCCAAGGCATCTGGCCCCACATTCTCCTCCGATGTCGGGGTCCCGGACGTTGTCCCAGAACCCCCGGTCCCATCAAGCCTTTCTGGGCCGTTCTTTAGGTCAAAAAGCCTGGTGTTTTTTTGAACCAGAACGGTCGCAACCTGATCTGTGTTTTTGCTTGACCTCAGTTCTTCCATGCTATTCCCAGACATGTGTGGCCTAGGAAATCAGTGGCTGTGGGCGCACTTTTGATTCGCATGTCGGTACCCAGCCGCCAGGTCACCACTCTCCTCTCCCACAAAGGTCACCTGCCCACCAGGACGGTCCCTCTCATCCACCAAGCCTCAGCCAGTGAGATGGCTGATGGTATGACCCAAGCCATCAAAAACTGCATGGATTCCTTCCAGCTGAGTTTTTCGGGCATGCAAAGACAAATATGAGAAGAAAAGCCATAGATGTCCAATCAATATCAATCAATCACATGCTTGTTTGAAAAGAATGCCTGCATGGATTGATTCTGATATGTTTGACATGTCAATTTCTGTTTGCTGGTCTCCAATCTCGTCTGGATGGAGCTGCAAGGACTTAGGACTTGTTGGATCCCTCCCTTTGTTGACTGTCGTAGAGTTGGTGTATGACTATGTGCAACAGTTACATCAGCTTCAACTCCAAACCGGCAAATAATCCGTTGACCAAATGAAGTATACCAGCACCCTCCTGGCTGTTACTTGAGGGTTGTTGGACCGGTCTCAATTGTGACCTGTAGAGTCGGGTCCTGGTATAGCTTTCTATACAAGACGTAAGCGAACCCCAATGAGTAGACTGTCAGGGAAATCAACAGCTCCTGACGGCTCCTGTAGTTTGCTCTCCCTTTTTCCAATCCTCTCAGAAGGCCAGGAAGCAGTGGTAGAAGGGCTGCAGCTCGCCGCGCGGAAGCTTGGCCACGCCTGATGCCAGCCACAAACAACGTCGAGCAGCTACCGGTAGCGGTCTGTGGCAGCCTTTCTGGAGCTCTTGGGGGCCTCCTTCGACCCAAGGGGTGCTGAGAAAAACAAGAAAAACGGCGACAGGGATTCTGGAGGATGTGGCCTTCTTCGGCCTCCGAAATCGGACCAAGGAACCCATCATCCGCTTCCAGGCTTTGGCGGCTGTGCACCAGGGCTCACAGCAGAGGACCACTCCTCGATACCCATAGCGACGGTGGACAAAGCCTGGCCGTTGGACGGGAAGAACATCACTCATGAAAAGAGGGTGGGAGCCAAGGCTCCAGGGCATTTGCGAGAGGTATAAAAGCAAAATGAACTATACACCCCTGCGTCTTGAAAAATGTTTTGTATATCTGTGTTAACATCTATTTCATTGAGTAATGAAACATTAACCCAACCAATTTCCATTGGATAACGACATCAATATAGTATCTCCGTTTTTGTGGTGAGGGCCACCCGGTTTAAGAGAGAAGACATGAATTCAAAAAAGAATCGTATATAATAAAATCCAATGCTACATATATAATGCTCCTGTCCGGAAGCCGCTTTCCTCATACATTAGAGTCCCTACAAGTCCAAAGACCATATCGTGCCCCATTGAAGATCATGGAGGTCAAGAAAGTTCCTTTTGGGCTCACCCAAGGACCATGTTAAACAATCTTGAGAAAAAGTCTTGGACTCCCAGAACGGTCATCGATGGATCTCGGGGGGTCCAGATCGTCCAAGCGTGGCTCGGAGGACATGTGCCCGGCACCTTGGACCACAAAGGCGACCGGAAGAGGCACGATCAGGAGCTCGAACATGACATGGTTCGTGGAAGTTCCGACTGGTTCGTCCAAAAAGCAAAACAGAAAATAGCCGGGCTGTTAGCTGATCTACTAGAGTGCCATCTACTCTCAAATATCGTCAACGGCTAAGACTCCTTTGCAGCTCGCAATGCTTCCCACTTAGGCAGTTCAAACTTGGCCACAGCAAGTAATCATTTCATATCATTTCTGGGTCACAGCACCTTCCGTGTGCCCCTTGTGCCGCCAGAGATGTCACCGTGGTTTTGGACTCCTCCTCATGACCTACAACGGTCCTGCAAAGGCAAAGCCCGGGAAAACATGTCCCAGTTCCGTGCAAGAAAAACGAGGAGGAGGAGCACTCTTCAGCAAAAGCCATCTCCGACGTTCGCCAAAAGTACTTGGTTCTGACGTTCACGGGCATTTTTCCGTGCCAACAGACTCACGTAGACGTGAGTCTGAGTAGTCCATGGACGACCCGTGAGCAGAACGAGTTCACACCAGCCCCGACCAAGGGGCAACGAAGAACCTGCACCAAACCATCGGCACCGGAGGAAGAGCATGAAAAAGAACGACTTCAGCGGAACGGCGGAACCGGTCAGAGATGTTTATTAGGCCCATGTCAATCTTTGGTCAGGTGGGGGGCCACTCCAGTACCACTTGTATCATCTTGTCTCAATCCACATTGGACCACCCCATTTTGATGGCCTTGCGTGCCACCCATCCACCAAGATCCACCATCAACGCATCTGTCCACCAGCTGCTCCTCCTCCTCTTCCCGAGGCACGAGATGTCGACCGGCCAGCAAGCGTGCTTGCTGCTCCAGCTCTTCCGGCAGGCCCTCCTCGCTCTGGACCTTGCGCGGAACAGGTTGGACATGCAGAAGACAAAGCATCTAGCCGATAGATAGACAACGCTCCCAACAAAATCAGAAACTCCCAGAAGAGTTCCGAAAGGACCTGAATGATTCTTGGACGACCAGTTCTAGAGACCAGTTCTAGAGTCACTTCTCCGAGCAAAAGCACAAGTCACATACGAAAATAAGAAACCTTTTAAGGAAAATAACACACCAAAGGCGGGTTCCACCTTCCCCACCGTCCCCTTCGCACCGTCCGCCACCGGGTCCGTCGCTTCGCCTCGGTCCCCCGGGCCTGGCCGGTGTCCCAGAGCGCTTGCAGCGCCGCCGCGCGCTCCGACTCCCCAGCGACCTCGGCGGACCAGAGCTGGCGGCGCAGTTGCTGCCGTTGGCTTTTGTAGTCGAGGAAGAGCTCCTGGAGACCGGAAGAAGACCGGTTGAGAGTGGTTGAGAGGAAGAGGAAGAGCTGCCCACTCCCATTCTTCTTCTTACCTCCTGAGGCGGAGATCCCTGGAACATCCAGGTGTTCGACCTGTTCTCCCCCCCAAAAGGCTAAAGATTGTGCACTTTTCCTGGGTCTCGTTTTGGGCCCCTGCTTATAAGGAAGCATCCGTTCCCAGCGTCGAGGACGGCCCAGGGTGGAGCCATTGGACGGGAGCGACCTCCCGTGGCTGGTGGAGGTCGGTGCAGATCGGTGGAGCGACCTCCCACGGTCGACGGCATGCCTTGGTCGAACTCCGTCTTCGTCTCGGGCCACTCAATTTCTCATAGAACTCCACACGTGGTGTGTTTTCCGCACAAGTGGAACATATGACCTGGAGCATCGAAGGGAAATGATGGCCAAGACGCCCCGCCACTACTATCCTCCAAATGTATCTCGAAAAGATCTAGTTTGTTCAATGGCCCCAACGATTTACATCGCACAGCGGTTTGATCGCAGCACAATGGCCCACGGCGACGGTTCCTTCCACCTTTCTTGCTCCGGCGAGATGCTTTCGGGCCTGGTCCATGAACGCCTGCCGTTCGGGTTCCGCGGTTCATCGGTCGCTTCAGCCGATGCGAGCTTGGAGCATCTCTCCGTTTGCGGAGACCGAACAAACCACATCCAACCACTGGATGGCCATCATTTCAGAGGTCTTGACATGTCTTGACCAATTTTGAGCTGCACCTTTTTTGCTAAGAATGCGTGAGACCATGTGTTCCTATACTGTAAACCTCTCTTTGCTCAGTACTGACATGAGCCGACCAGGCGCAAAGGAATTCTCGGGTTAGGTAACTTGGATCACTGCTGCTCTTACCGAAGCCGTTGGTTCCCCCAGAAAGATCAATATCAGCCCAATTCTGCACCATTTGTCATCATACACATGCACCCTTCAAACGTGTGAGCTTTGAAAGAACATATCAACTTACTCTGGCTGCCGGAAGTCCACGGATGTCCACCCCCAACTTCGCTGCCGGTTCCGCAAAGCAAAGCAACCCTGCTTCTCTGCCTCACGCCGTTGGGGAACTGCCACTCTGGGCTCCCCTTCTGCCCCACCCAGCGCGTGCCCCGCAGCTCCAGCGCGCCCGGTACCGGGTCGACGGAGGCGCTGAGACGCCAGCGGCCGGTCCCGTCGCCGAAGTCCTCGGCGGCGTGAGCGACGGGGAACGGAAGGGTGACGGTTTTGGATGAAACATCCAGATGTTTTTTTAAAGAATTCATCAGAATTCCAAGAAACCGAGAGTAAAACTGGGAGGATGCAACCAACTCAAAGTCTCGGCCCTGCATATGCCACCTGGAAGGCCAACAGGTGTAGCCCATCAGGTGTCCACATCTATCCGATCGGATTGCCATAGAGGCCCTACCATATATACGAGACATCTCTTGATATCTGGATCGCCAACAGGGACTTCACTGGATGACCGCCCAGGCTCGACTTCATTGCCCTTCACTTGGATGCTCAAGCCCACATCATCCTCCCAGCATCCCTGCAAGCTCTCGATCAGCTCGCTGAACTCATCTCCGCAGCTCGTGGATCCCTCTGCGCAGCGGACCGCGACGCGGTCGGCCCGTCGGGCCCGGCGGGCCGGTACTCCGGAGTACCGGCAGCGACGGAGCAAGGTGAGCGCCGCCGAGGCGACCGGGAGTCTTTGCCTTAGCTGCCAGTCGTCTTTTTCCAGGTCAAGATTGGAGTCACAGAGATCATTGAGATTCGAGTTCTATCATCTCCAAAGATTGGAGAGTGTCCTCTACCACCCACTCTACCACCGACATGGCTTGTTCGCCGGCTCAAATAGATGCTTTTGACGGCACCCCCGCAGTTTTCATTCATCCCTTTTCTTCCAAGGATCCCAGCAGCCCCTCGCTGCCGATCTCGCTGCCACGGCGTGCAGCTGCACAGTCTGCTGCTGCGACTGCTCTGGGAGCTCCGCAGGAGCGCCGGAAGCTCCATGCCGGGCGCGAAAGGGTGGGAATGGATCTGGCTCATCTGGCTGAAAGGCGTCAGTTGCGATGAAGTGGGATCCAAACTGATCCAGTATAACTGGGCAGATGTGCTGGATTTGTTGGGAGAGCATTATGATGTTTTATGTGGATCTTTCTCTGAACAATTGTTCGCGTGTTGGTCAGTATGCGTTGTCTTGCACCTTCTGGAATTGTTTCAATCAGGTTTTGAATCGTGAGGTGTCGAGTCTGGAGTTCCTCTTAAGGCACTTCTTGTGATGATTCCATGTGTTGACTGTGGACCTGTGCATTCCCTTTACTTTCAGAGCTTGCAGTTTGTGTAGCTTGCCAACTTCGAAGCGCTTCCCTGCTGTACAACCGATAGAAACAACCCCCCCAAAAGAATCCTTCAAATTGGTCAAAGGTTCCCTCTATATAATGTGTCAAAAGAAATATAGTATCAAACACTCCGTCCAAATGTCTGGGCTTTGACGATCAGAGACAAGGCCGCCAAGCTTTTCAGATACATCAGCCAGATACATCAGCCATGCAAGGATGGGCGGCCAATTCGGCCAGCTCTGGCAGGGCAAAGAAGTGTCATCTTAATCTGTCCTGCCTTCCAACGCGGGCTCACACTGATCTTGTTGCTCCACCTTCCCTTTTCCGACTGGTGCGGCCCGGGAATAGGAGAGGGTGAATGACCCTGACATACCCTGACTCACTGAACAGTGATTCAGGAATGGCTCGATGCCCATTTCGAGGACCAACGGGTGTGGGTCAAAGCTTCAGCATGTCCTTTTGCGAGGTAAAAACCTTACCCAGAACTTCCAATGACCCATTCTACCCCACTTCGTAGTCATGATCCACCACTTGTTAGGAACAAAAACGATAAGTTAAGACTTAAGATGAGTTATTTGGGCAACTACTATGTCATTTGGCCCTAACTCAACTCCTAAGTCACGCATGTCCTTAGTATAATGTCATGCCATGCATGTCATGCATGTACACATGTACTATGCATGTACTATCCATGATATTGCATGTGGGAAAAAAAGACGTCTGCTTCTGATCCTCCAATCCACACACACCAGGCGCGCCCGACTTCGCGTCACCACCATCATGAACCCCTCAATCCATATTGCGTCCTTAAGCCTTTCACCCAGCACCGACGGCCCTCAGGCCATAGGGCCTCTCAGCCGTACTGCTCGATGCGCCAGACGCGGACCGCGCGGTCCGTGGAGGCGCTGAAGAGTCGATGGCCCACGGTCTCCAGGGAGGTCACGGAGCCCTTGTGCCCTTGCAGCACATCCTGCCACCCCCACGGGGAACAGACGAGGACGAGACACCAGAGGCGGAGTCGTGAGGAGCGATGGAACAGATGTCCGTTAAGTTCTGGACTATACTGCAAAATCAAAGCCATTGCTCACATGGATTCCGGGATGGGGAGGAAGATGAGAAGCTGCGGGTGGCAGGTGAGCAGTGAGCCACCGAGCTCCTGGCACTGGAGCTCGCCGTCCCAGACCTTCACGACGCCATCCTGGCGACCGGCCGGGAATCGGTGGAAGAAGAAGGGTAGTTTTCATTCATGTTCATTTCATATTTAATCCATTCCTGGTCAATCCATTCATATCCATTCTTCAAACAACATCAAAAATATATCATTAGGCTCAAAATCATACAGGACTTCTAACACTCAATGAAGAAAGAAGTCCACTTCGTGTTCATCCATCGAGGACCTCCCCGCATGTCTCAACAGACGTCTCAACATGTGATCGACCCGTCGACCCAAAAAAACCTCCGACTCCCCACTCACTCCGGCGGAGGCTGTGGCCACACACCATCGGTGGAGCCCGCCGATGGCCACACCCATCGGTCGAAGGGGTGGCCGTCGACCGTGGACCGTCTCCTTGGAGCCGGAGAAGAGCACATCCTCCGAGGGCGACATGCACAAGGTCTGAATCCAGTCCTCGGACGAGTTCTCGGGGACGACGGAGCCCGGCGTCCGGTATTTTTTCGGGTGGTTTTGCGGAGGACGGAAAGGGGGGTAGGTGACCTTGGGCCTTTTTGGAGGTGTTGGTGATTGAAAAAGATAATCACAAACAAAGGAGTCAAAGGAGTTTGGAGAGAAAAGGAGTTCGGAGAAACCAGATGTTTTCGGACAGAAAAAGGTTTTGGAGTTCCATATCGGGGATTATAGTTTTATATATACCTAGTGCTTTTTTAAGGGGGTGCCCTGTCTGGAGACCTGTTTAAGTAGTGTGGAGATATCCATTGGTGACCCCGAACGGAAGCAGCAAAAAAGGTGCCCTCCCGGATGCCCTAAAAGACTCCGTTCCAGCACCCCTTTCCATGGGACTCCCAAGCTTGTGTTGTGGAACGACCGTCCGGTTTGCCTGAGGGCTTGACCTCACATTCTTCGATCTACGCACTGCTAGCTCATTGTTTCAATGGCACCACAGAAAAGGAACTCAATGAGCACCAGCCCTCACAGAAACGTCGACTGCACTTGAGGGAATTCGGGAATTCCACTGGAGGCCTCTGACTGAATCTACAGGGGCAGGCAGGGCTGAATGATCCTTGCCTTCGGGCGTCCAACCGACATGGTCAAGCGCATTCAGATTGGATGTATTTGGAGACCAAACAGGTGCACAAGACCACATTCATGTCGCATCCAATCCAAGCATGCGTATCGCAGCAAACAAGCACAAGGTCACTCCAAACTGCCTCGGAACAACCCAAAAGCTGCCAAAAAAAAAACACATCTCCAACCCACTGTGGCCCATGTGTCCAACCCAAAGATCTGCTGGTTTCCCACCGGAGTTCACTGGAAACCTGGCAGCAATCAAATTTCTCCCTGGCGGCACTTGTATCCCCGTGTATTCCCAGCAAAGGTCCCCGTGCACGTGCAAGGTGTGCATGGTGTTGGTGAGGCTGTACATGTCCCACTCCTTGATCGACCTCCAACGGACTTGCGGAAAGGGAAAGTGCAATGGGTTGTACGCTCCGAGTCACCAACAGGTGGAAAAATGGACAACGGACCTGCTTGGCCTTGACCATGCTCATCCGAACGAAGGAAAAAATGGGGGTCATGCCATCCACGTTGGCCCATGATGAGGCAACAGGGACTGTATACAGATAGGTGTCTTCTCAGCCAAAAACCTATATATCGCTACCTGCTGTTCCATGTCGCGGTGCCGGCACCACTGGGGTTTTCAACCAACAGGACCACCGGACCTGTTGGCGACGCCGAACGGTCGGTAGATTTGTCCAAAGGGAATCACATATCATTGCTATTTCTTGTTTCACATCGTCCTTCTCAACGTGGCGAAAAATGACTTTTGTGCTGTTCATTTGTTGAATTCGAACGACGTGTTGTAGCAAACGGATATTTCGCAATGACATATATATAGACTAGGTATGTCTCTTGATAGAAAAGAAAAAAACCAAGTGCACCGCGGTAAAACAAAAAAATCCCCGTCTGCATGAAAAACGGATGCGCCTGTCCCTGGAGCCGGAGTAGAACTTCCCATGTTTGGCGCAAACCGCAATGCTGCTCACCCCATCGTAGTGCGGGGGGTGCAAAGTCCGGTTCACAGACCAAGTCGAGGTGTCCTTGAACGAACTAATCGAAGCTCCACGAGGCTCTGAGACCGCGAAGCCCTGGAGTTTCAGAGACCGCATCCAAACAAAAGGCATCCAAAAACGCGCGCCCCCTGCCAGCATTCAACACCTCACATCATGTAGTCAGCTGTTCTTTTCCTTGACACTAAGTCAGAACAAAGTATAGGTATCGGTATAGGTGATATCAACATGCTCATGTCTCCCCGCCTGTGATAACTATAATCCTATAAAGACCTTCCTGCCCGCCGCATAGGTAGTTGATGGGACTCCCAAAACCCGTCCGCAACCCCGTGGCGCCACGCTCCCGCTCAAACCTTCAGCGACCTGCAGCCCAAGGCGCCCAAACCTTCAGCGATCGATCCCTTGCGCCGCTCACCACGCTGCTGGGTGCCGCGGTTCCGGCCGCGCCGAAGCTCGCGAGCGCGAAGACGCCGCCTAGGTGCGATTGCTCCAGGACGCAGAGCGCGTCGAAGCTCGTGAGGTCCCAAACGCCTCGGCGGACCCCGCCGGTGGGGTGGAGAGGTCGCGCTGACGTAGTTCTTCGGGTGGGACAAAGGCGGGAAGTGGAGGACCAGACGGTGGGAGCCAAGGGTGAGACCCTTTCGGTTGGGTAAGACTTCCAGTCTCAAGAGGTCAGGAAACCAATTTGTACTACTCGACTCCCTTGGGGATTTGTTGTCGTGTCAACGTGTTGAGGCTACTTGTACTGCTCCTTCTGCTATTATATGGGCAACCAAGGCCCTATTTGACGCAACTTGCTACGCAATATTGTTAAAAAATCAAGGTTCTCAGTGCGTAGTTGCTTTGGGAATGTAACCCTGTACTTCTGTGATGCATAGAAACATGCAGGTTGATGTAATTAATAGCATGCTAGATCTCGTCAGTGGTGCCCTCAGCCAGCTCAACCTTCCTGCGACAGCCTCGAGAAACACTTGATGGAACAATTGCTCTTTGCCTATCTTTGCGTCACGTCTTTTAATTTGTTCCCCGTGTCTCTTCTTGTATCTGGGCGCTGTTGTAGCTGGGACAGGATAAAAGTGGTTCCATGTGGGTGACATGATGACAAGCCATAGTTGACATCTGCGGATCTGAAAGCACGTGCTACACTATGCTGTCTACGAAAGCTCCAGGTCTCAAAAAGTGTGTGTGTGTGTGTGTGTGCGTGCCCCTTGTAATCACAGGGATCCACTCGGATTGTGCTTTCTTCTTTTTCATTTTGTTTTAAGCAGGGGGCTGGAGTGTGCTTCAGATGTCTCCAGCCAACGAAGACGCATCTGTCGCACAGTGATATAGTTCTGGGACGCCAGAACTACGTACCTGCCATTTTCAGGAAATGGAACCCTAGGCCGGCGTGTGGCACCGCTTTCCGTTCCGTATGCATATCCATAAGTGTGTTTGGCCTCGTGCCAACCCGGGATGGGCCCGCAGAGTGCCTCCCGTAGACCCGTCGAACGGGGGTTTGTCGCTGTTTCCCTTGCTTTGGAAACGTAAGTGCCCACAGCGGGCGAAGCTGGCTCATGCCACAAGAAGTGGGAAGTTCGTCTCATTTTTGGAATTCCAAGTTGGCTCATGCCTTTACGTGACCGCAGCGGTCCAAGCTGGCTTAACGCCTCAACGTGGTCAGAGCGACCGAAGTACTTTTGAGGTTCATTGGAACCTGTCGCGACCTTGAGTGCACACACAGCGTGTACATTGAAACGAGGCAGGTCACCTAGGTCTTTGCAATGAGGTTTGGTCTCATCGGTTTTCGTCCCCTCCATTTGGTTCCCCTTTCATCCCTTCCCCTTCACACACTTTTGTTTCCTCTTTTCTTTCATGTCCTCCTGTCTTCATGTCTGGTCATCTCATCCTTTTCTTCGTTTGCGTGCACATTGGTCCCGGCCTTAGTGTGTACGTGCACTTTTACATACCTTTAAACACAGGTTTCAGGTCGCCCAGGTCCTTTCAATGAGGTGGGCTTCATCGGGTGTCCCTGTGCACTTGGTTCCCCTCTCATTTCAACCACACGTACCTTTGTCCCGTCTCGTCCTCCTGTCATGTCTTCATTCTCTTGTCTTTTGCGCGCACACGTGCACATTGGCCCTCACCTTAGCTTTACGCCTCCCCTCGGGGAGGCGTGTGTGTGTGTGTGTGTGCCCCTTGTAATCACAGGGATCCACTCGGATTGTGCTTTCTTCTTTTTCATTTTGTTTTAAGCAGGGGGCTGGAGTGTGCTTCAGATGTCTCCAGCCAACGAAGACGCATCTGTCGCACAGTGATATAGTTCTGGGACGCCAGAACTACGTACCTGCCATTTTCAGGAAATGGAACCCTAGGCCGGCGTGTGGCACCGCTTTCCGTTCCGTATGCGTATCCATAAGTGTGTGTGATTCAAGAGATCTAAAGTGCCCATGGGTCCTCTCAAATATACTGACCGCTGCTTTAAACGCCTTTCAGGAAAAAAATAGAACAAAAATCCATGCAACACTCAACACTGGTTCATTCTCATGCACGGCTCTCGCCTGCGTTTCCGACACCCCGGTGGCGCCCGGTTTTCGTCCACGGCCTCTACGCCGAGGGGCGGATGGAACGATCCTCGGAGCCAGAGACCAAGAGATCCTCGGGGCGACGAGCCCAACCACGTGAGGAGCACGCGCCACGCGACGGTCGTGCGGTGGACCGGTGGGTCGTGTCATGGAAAAGCCAGGAATCAATAAACCCCGCCCATGCCACATGGAGTGTTTTCAACCTCTTCATCATAGATCTAGATATTTCTTCATTTTAGTTGGTGGCTGAAATCAAAAAAAATAAGAGCCTACATGAGGTCGTCCTGCTTGAGGATCTTCGGTTCCACATTCAGATGTCCGGTGAAGTCGACTTTCGGGGCGATCGACGCGGGGGAATCCGCGAGTGACTGCTGCGTTACTGCTGGTGACCGTTGAGTCAGTGGGTCCTCATGGCCACAGCCATATGGGTGTTTCTGTTGGTGTATATACTGTATGCTGGTATACTGAATCGAAAGAACCGGGAAAATCAAAGGTCCTATGATCCTTGCAGGTTGTGTCCAGTGATGTCCAGTGGCTAACCACCACTGAGGGTGAAACAGCCAACCTCTATGGCCAAAGCACCGACCGTAGATGTGTTTTCCAACCGGACAGAGGCAAAAATGGAGGGCACCAAAAGACACCAATTTCAGACACTTCTATGGGCGAATTCGTCCAAAGACATCGCAGTTGTTAACTTAATCCTTCAAAAGCAATAAGTCATCTGCAACTGTTCCATGGAGATGGATGGGTTCTCACTTCTCTCAGGACATATGGATACAAATGGTACCTCTTCCTAAAGAGCCTTACTGCACTGCATGGCAACTGAGTGGGAGCAGGTGCACCTCCATTGGACCGTGGCAAACGAACGATGCATTCCCCACGGTCCAAAGTGGCAAGGTCGCCGCCTCCGTTCTATCGGACTTGGCCGGATCGGATCCACCATGCCCGTAGCGGACCGGATCTGTGAACACCGCCCACGGCCCACTTCCGCCACACCGAAACCGCTCGTCTGATCGTCCCGTGCGCCCCCCCCAGCTCTGCGGACTCAATGTACCTTTCTCAGTCCAACGACTTGTAGCCTTGTAGCTGAAGAAAATGAACCATCAACCAGAAGACTTTCATTGGATGGTTCTAGAGGAAATCAACAATCTCTGTTTGGTTTTTTTGCGAAGATAAACTCTTCCTGTATAGATGTTCATTGTGTGTGTGACTCTTGAACACGGCGAATTAAGAAGGATTCGAGGTCCCAGCATCCCACCATCAAAAATTATTCACAGAATGTCCCAACTGTGTCAGAGTCGCATAACACCCTCCTAAGATCTCCTAAGAACACGCACTTGACCACACATTGCTCCAGAGTTCCCCGCAGTACAAAGATCACCCAACCAACGACCCCGCATCGCAAGCAGCCCAACGCCTTCCTGCCAAACAGGAACTTACCCGCCTGCCCCCCCGCTTCCCCGAGAAACCCCCGGGAACTGTTCGTCTGTTCGTCGAAAAGCGTCTGTGCTCTCCAGGATCAGCACCGCATTCACGCCCCCCGTGTGGCCCTGGAGCACCTTCACCGTGCTAAAGGAATCCAAGCTCCACACCCGCACGGTGCCTCGGTCGAGACCGGTGGTGGAACGCGGAGGTGTTCCTTTTGGGGGGCGTTCCCCGCGGTGGTGGGGTGGAATCCGAAAAGGACAAACATGCGTTTGAACGGCGTGGGATTTCAATGTTCAATAAATTGTATGAAGAAGTCTGGTCAGTTGCCACATTGGCTGGTAGATTCATGTATAGGGGGGGTGGGTTGTGAGATTCCCCCACTCTCGAGTGTGTTCATGAATCTTGAGCGGGTTAGAATCCTGGGGTGAAGGAGTCTTCCAAGCCATGGATACCAATATGGTTGGTATATCAAAAAGATATTTAAAACATCAAGAAAAAAGTGCATCAGTGAAGCATGCCTGTCTCAAAATCAGTGCCCTCTCCTTCATCCACCCATGCTTCGGTCTTCTCTCGTCCGTCCAGCGATCCTCCGCATCCGCCGGGCGACGATCCTGCGACCCCGAACACAGCACCTGGCGGACGGCCGCCGACCGCGGTGCCACCGCCGCCGACCGCGAGGACGGATGGGACGGATCCGTTGAACACCGAAGGGCGCAGCGGTTCGTTTCGCGGTTTGGAATCAGGACACGACGAATGGGAGCTGGCATAAACAAACCACACATGGTGGTGGGCCATCAGGGTTCGTAGGCAATAGAATGTGTTTTCCATGAAGGAAAAAACGAAAGACATCGTCTGTTGCAACAGACAAAATGAATAGGAATTCACTATATAACCTCAGGACATCTGATGGTCCCGTCCCCATGATGTCGGCGAGTAGAACCGCTCCGTAGAACCCAGCGCCAGAACGGGAAGAACACCGCGCCCGCCGAGGCCGACGGGTTCGGACGGTTCTTCAGCTCCGCGGTGGAAGGCGCTGGAGCCTTGTGATTATGAGGGTTCTTGAGGGTTCCGGCAGATCAAACCCTTACCCTTCGTGGGAGAAGAAAGTGATAGCAAAGCTCAAGAGATCTCTCTGCTCTGGTGTGAATCATGTGTATACATACTGTAGCTATAGTTGCAAACGGGCGGCGCTGAGACAACAAAACTCAATGCAAGAAACCAGTTGCAACCCCCAACAAATACAAGCTTACGAGCTAATTAAAGGAAAAACAGAAACCAAACAGAATGCGCCAGAAATGGGCCGGAATAGGCTTTGGATCTCCTCTTTGTATACTCAACATGCTCGTTCTACTCTGACCGTGACCCATCTATGCCAAATCCGATGTGATGCATCGCCGCTGCCTTCTTGGCATAAGAGGCATGGAGGCACTTCACAAAGCCACGGTGCCCGGGAAGTGTCCCGATGTACTGCAGGTTGTTCAGGTCCCAGATCATAATACTGCTATCCTGCCCGGCTTAAAACTGTGAGGAAATGCTGCGACTCGAGTCGGATGAGATGCGACTCAAGCAGCCCGACTGACTGGAGCCTGGTTTTGAACTTCTTCTTTGGTGTTCCGGATCGTATATTCAAAGCTCGTGAGAAGTGCTGGGCTGTCCCATGGTAGACGATCATAGCTCCTCCACGGGACCTATCTGAAACGCATCACCAATGACATGGCATCGTTTCCAAGTATCGAAAAGAAGTGATCTATAAAGAAATGATCGAACTTACAAAAAAGAACACAGGCGCTCGAGCAAAACACCCTCACGATGGGACGGAGGGACCTTGAAGAAAACCCAGGCTGTTCGATGAACACGAACTCCCTGCCAGACCTTGCCGAAGGTCCTGTCAGTCCTCCCTGCCATGGTTTAAATGAGACAACACTGAGGTCGGAAACCATGTCTCGGATATGCATGTTGTACCTCCCCTCACCGCCTAATCCACCGTTTGCCGGCTTGCAAGGACCTGCAAAATATGTTCAGGATGGTCTTCGTTGCGGCAAAGGCTGTCCTTGCTTTCAATGCTTCAACTACAGATCGTGAGATAGACACGCCGTGACACGCCCTTCATCTCCCTTTTTTAGGCGTGACATAGCCTGGAAAGATGGGACTCCAAATGACTCCGTCCATCTGATCCTCCTGGTGTTCACTCTCACCCTCCACCCCCAGGACCGGGGTAGACCCCCGCACCGGTCCGACGTGCGACCCCACCTGCGACCCGGTAAAGAGGATGTCTCCCACCCCGCAGAGGCAGAGCACCGAGCCGGTGTGCCCCGCCAAGACGTAGACGCAATGCTCTTCCGGAGCGCTTTGATGGGCCGTGGGGGTGGTGCTGCCTGGGTTCCAAAGAGAGAAGCTGGGCAAAATGAAAGGCTTGAAGTAAACAAGTGTTTTGAAACTGTCTGAAGTTTTTGAAGTTATATTTTTGAAACTGTCTGTATATAGTATATATAACAAGTGGTTTTTGTATCTTTTTGTAAAACACAACGAGCCTTAGACGTTCTTGAGACGTTCTTGAACTTTGTCGCACATCCCTCACATCCCTTGGGAAGTCTCCACACTTCAACCACTTCAACCCCTGCTCTTCCCAGTGCCGACCCCACCTCCCACCGAGCTGTTTCCCGGGCGGTTGCGCGGCGGCGAGGCGTTCCGCCGTGGCGAGGCCTCGCGCCGCAGCCGCTGCGACGCGGCCGAAGCGGCGGCCGCCGAGACGGGCCCAACGGGGCTAGTCTTGACGCGGCGAAGCTGGCCGCCGTCGGAAGCCGTGGCCTGAGGTTGTGGCTTGGGGATGCCGTGCCAAGCGATTGGTGTTGTTTTTTATGGTGGTGCGTGGGGAATGTGGCGAGGGAGGAGGATGCTTTCTTGACAGTTGGGTCCACGTGGGGTCAATTTGGAGTCAACACAAATCTAAGTGCGCGATGCTGTGAAATGTTTCTGTGACAGTGAGCAGTCTAACCCAAAGCCACAAAGCCACCAGTTGACCAAAATGATCCAAAATCACATGTTCTGATTCGTGCTCACTCTCATCACCATGTGAGCTAAATCTATCCATTTCACCTTCACACCTTAACACTCCCTAACCCCGAAAAAATGCCACCGGAATTACAACCCACCGGTCTGGCCGCCTCCATTTCTTCCATTCTTTTGGCCCAGAAACTCCACGTCCGCTCTTCGCGCGGGCGACGGGGTAGACCTCCAAGTGCAGATCGTTTGGCAGACTCGTCGAGAGCACCACCACGTCCTCGCCTCGGGAAACGATTCCGTCGGACTTCGTCGCGTCTCCCTCTTCGGCGCGTCTCCGACACCGTTTCGACCGTGTTCTGTTCACCACCCAAACTCGGTCGAAATGAAGCAGTTTCGACCGGCTGGGCATATGGTCCACATGGGTTAGAAGGGACTATGCAATTCTTTTTGTGAAGTAAGCCACTTTGGGGATACAATGTGTTCTGCATACACTTGTTCTAGTACTATAGAACTTGTTGTTGCAAGCCGTTTGTCAAGTATGTGTGGTCGCTCGCCGCTCGTGCTTTGAAGATCGTGCAAGCAACTTGACATGTATGTCTTGATACACGCGCGTCCTTACAAACAACTGGACATCAAAGCTTTGATACTAGCCCCACCATCGAAGATCCTACAACAATGTGGACTTGTATGGACTTGCATTATCTAGATACACTATGTCCAAATTATTGACAGGTCATGCCCCAATAATTTGGACACGTGTGTAAATTATTGCACCATCATCATCATCAAATACTATATAATACTTTCGACACACTTTGTCTAAATTATTGAAGCGTCAGCGGTCACACTGCGTCTAAATTATTGATGCGTCAGCGCGCGCACTGTGTCGGAGTCTAAATTATTGATGCGTCAGCATCCATGATTTGGACACGCTTTGTCTGAACTATATATTGTGTGAGGCTTGAAAGATGCATATTGCCAAGGTCACCGCCATTTCCGCGGGGAGATTTTTAAAGCCATGGAAGGTATGTAATTTGTCAATCCGCCGCCATTTTCCAGCGAAGATTGGAGGCTTGAAGAAATGAAAACTTCACTAGCTACGCTACATGTGCAGCTGAACCGGTATATGCCATTTGTGTTTACATCGTCTGTGTTTACATAAGTCCTGCCACCTGCGCCAGCACTGTAGGTTCTCGGTCGATCTCATCTGGTGTGCGCAATCTCCATCTCACTGCGAATCCATTTCTATGCACCGAAAACATGGCTTGCTAAAAGCCCCCGCGGTATCCCGCGGCGGTCTGCGGTAGTCATTCTGAATTGAGTTGATCTGCTCACCATTTTGGATTGTTCGTTCTATGGTGGGTGGCATCTCTCACGGGTTCATCAGGCTCTGTTTGGCCAGAAATCTTCTCTTCCCCGGAATCTCTTTCAAAAGCACCACGACTGGCTGTGTCCCACTCTACACTGACACCCAGTGAAAAACTACGACGGGAGTGTTTGAAGACTAGGAAACAATCTAGCCATACCACCCAAGGAAAACCCCTGTCTACCATAGCTTGCAAATGCTTGCAAGTTCATGTTCATCCCAGCAAAAACTTTAATCCCAAACACCACGACCTTCCCCAAATTATATATCCGTCTTCTGAAACCAAAAAACCGTACCAACGGTCCAAAGAATATCGCCAAAGGCTCCATCACGCAACTCGATCGCGCCCTCCTCGAGGTTCGCCGCCTTGGCAATGGCCCGCTCGATCTGTTGCACTGTGGCGCCCGCGTACCAGACCACCGCCTGCGAGACGAGCTGGGAGCGTCCGGCCGTTCCGGGAACGGTGTCCGTTGACTGTGCGTGTATGATGTATATGCGTCGGATGTGGGGTTTCCGGTTTTCCGGTACGTGAGATCGGTCTGCCCCTCCCAGTTCGCGGTTGCAGGGTTTCACACCTTCCCCTGATCTTTATGGCTCTGAGAATGTACCCGCGTGCCTTGGAGCACCAGTGACGCCTTTCGCTTGAAGCGGATAAAAACACCCCATGTCCAGCCCATGCGGACCGACCAATGGGGCTGGCTATGGGCCCGGCTTGCCGGGACTGGCAGTCGACCTACCAAGGCCTCCTCAGGCGTGAGTGGCTCCAGGTGTTGAGCCACAGCCATGTATATATATATATATATATTATATATATATATATACATGTATGTAGCTACATGGGGGTGGTGGAAAAGAGATCCATGTGGTGCAAATATGCCAGTGCCATGGAGCTTCTGGGATGTTCGAACAAGCCCTGGGTCATTGTGACCACTGCACCGTTGGCAAAAGAACATGCCATCGCCAAAGGTGGGAGCTTCTCAACAGAGGGGGCAAATGATGGTCTCGCCTAATATATAGATAGAAACAACTTCTCAGACATGTTTAGTTCTCTATCAAGAAATAAATAGTTGAGCTATATTGTGATAATATATTGTGTCTTGTTTTTTGATCAGTAGTTGGGGGGCAACACAGGTTAAGAGTAATTCATGACCATCTGGATGGACATAAAGGTCTCATGGAAAAACTGCGTGGACTGTATGGGGTCTAGGGAGGTCATAGTCCTGTGTCAAGCATGCAATCGTCACCACCACCTTCCAAATGCCGACCGCCGCCACTCGCTGACTTTTCAGGCCTTGTTCTTCACCCCTTGAGCCGAGATGAAGATGCGCTTCTTCGCGCTGGCCACCGCCACACGCTGCCCGGTGGAGATTTGCTCCAGCCGTTCCACCACGTACCTCGAGCATCTGGTGCTTGTTCAGTCGGTTCAGGGGTGTTTGAGGGGGATAGACTTGCATGTTGAGACAAACCATAGAGAGAGAGAGAGAGGGGCATCGTTGTCTGTGTTGAAACATGTGTTTCAACATGTTGAAGCCATATCCGGCTGTTCTTGTCATCTGCTTATCGCCTGGTCATGTCGTTTCCTCAGACCAATTCATGTGCGTGCGCAGTTATTCGGAGGGTCCGATCCCCCAAAGGGCGGCGTCCTGTTGCATCCGCTCGTGTCCCACCACCACCACCACCACCACCACCACTAGTAGTACTATTCCTCCAATCACTCCTACTACTGCTACTACTACTACTACTCCTCCTCCTACTCCTGCTACTCCTGCTACTGCTGCTCCTCCTCCTCCTCATCGTCCTCCTCCTCCTCAAGGAACCATTAATTTCTAACCAAAACACTATTGAAATTAATGGTGGACCTTCTGGTACAAAATAATTCCAGATTAATGGATTTATTTTGTAAGAGCTAAATGGTATGATACAATCCCTTGTAAGCTGTTGGTGAACAGAGAGGTCCAAAATCAACGTCTGGTTTCCTAAATAATTTTGGTTCTACCTCCTGTCCCTTATCCACTTATGATAGGATTGTTCCTTTTCATAAAGAGAGTTCTAATTCTACCGGAAAGAATCCTCAATCATAAGCTGTGTCTCAGGTTCAGGTGGGTCAACCGCCAGGCCAAGAGCAGGGGGGCCCCAGATCCAAGAAGGGGCCCAGATGTGGCCAGGAATCCATCCCACCTATCGATCACTTATGTAAAGGGGATGGATTCCCAGAGACAGCAGGTTTATGAAAGCTATTGAGAATTTCATCCTGCTCACGTACCATCAGCGGTGTTGAAGAACTACAAGAACAAAAATAAGCTGATGTGTGTAGGGACTTCTTCATGTTTATATCTGGCAGTGCTGGCAGTGTTTAGATCAAAGAAACCCATGATAAAAAATGCCAGATAATAAAACCCTAACTGACTAGAACATTTAATTATGTGAAAATGTCCACTTTTCTCGCACTCATTCGTATAAAAGATAAAACATGTTTTTGTTTTCATGGCTTTTGTCCCATCAATAATTTTGGTTTTATTAAGAGAGATTTTCATTATCCAAAATTCTTGATGATATGAATGAAAATAATGGACCAAACTTAAATAAAATGATATCTTATATCAATTTTGTTCCCTCATTCATCTTTAATTCTTGCTTTCTGTCTGAGCGATTGAACGGAAGGAATGTAAAAAGCAAAAATATAAAAAATGAATGAACCACCACCAACTACTACTACTACTACTACTACTACTACTACTACTACTACGACTACGACTACGACTACGACTACCACTACCACTACCACTACCACTACCACTACCACTATCACTACGACCACGACGACGACGACGACGACGACGACGACGACGACGACTACTACTACTACTACTACTGCTTCTGCTTCTGCTTCTGCTTCTGCCTCAGATGTATCCTTACATCGTGTGCAACTCCAAAAACGATCCTTGCTCCACCGGTCCTGCTAGATCTCTATCTTAAGCCCAAATAGAATGAATTAGAGCCCAGGAACATCCTGTCATGGCGAGGATGCCTGGCGAGCAAGACCTGCCCCGGCTCCACGCCCAAAGAGGCTTGAAGGGCTTCCAAGCTTTGTGGGGCTAAGATCTCCTTCTGCACCTGGACCGTGTCACCGAGGGGCGAGCTAACGGTGTTGGGCGTTCTGAACGGTCAAGACATCGAAGAAATCTAGCGAGTTAAAAAGAAATCTTCAGGTTTTCAGACCGATGAAATACCCAGTGGAGACACTCTCCATCTTCGTGCCCTCATGGTTTTTGGTAACGAAGTAATTCTCGACAAGCCATCGGCTCTACACAGGCTCCAGCTTTTGCTTTTCCAGATTGGTACTTTCCCTTCCCACGGGTCTTTTTTTCCCCATGAGGCTTTCCCTTCCCAGGAGACGTTCCTTTCCCAAGGTGGGTGGTTTGCTGGGTTCCTGAACGAGTCGTTTCGTTTCCCTTCCCGTTTTCGCGGTTGTTTGTTCCCAGAAGGGCTGGGAAACCTCCCGCATGTCCGCCGAAGTTTGGGCCAAAGCAACCAACCTCGACGACATCCAAGCCCACAAGGAACCAGGGAAGCAACCAAGCAAAGAATCTAGCAACCAGGCAACGCAGCAACCAACCCATCCACTAAGATCTTGTAAAGAAAACTGACCATATCAGCCACGATGGTCCACAATACATGTCCTAGCATGTCCTAGCTGGATTCAGCTGTTCACCCATCGAACCGACAGCCTCGTCCGGCTCCACAATGAGCTGCCAGGGCTCCCTCACGTCACTGCCCATGGCGAGCAGCGATGTGCTGCCCGGCGCCGCGTGGTCGCGCCCCGTTGGGACAGTGGGAGCTGGTTGGGGGAGCTGGTGAAGGGGGACGCCCCCAGGTGCTGGGTGGATGGTTCAGGGTAGGGCTTGGGGCTTGGTGCGATCTTGGGTTGGTGGGGTCATAGGTGAGCCTGCCTTTGGTAACCATGGATGGCTTCAGACTCGGGAATCAGCTTCCATGGTTGCAAGGGCCAGACTCTGCACCCTGCAACTTCAAGCTGCCTTCAGGGTCTGGGTGTTCTTCTCTCCTGCTTCAGTTCAGTTTCAGCAGTCATTTGCTTTCACATATTTCACTCAGCAAGCTTGAGATGGCGAGCCACGAGCGGTTGGTCTAGGGTCAGTCATGTCTGGTGCTCGTGAATCTAGGGATCGTTGGCACTATGATAGATAGAATGTCAGTGGCTTGGCAGGATGGACAGACGGTAAACCCTCACCCGTTTGGCCAAGCCACTTTGCCCATCGTCCTAAGGACAACCATCTCCAAATTGATCAACTGAGTTCAAAGGACAGGGCAAACGGGTGCGTTGGGGTCAAGGATGCATGTCACCTGGCAACTTTCAGGACTTCATTTCGATGGGTGTTCCACGGCCTTAACAGCGCCCTTTTCGAGTGCAAACAGTTCGTGTTTAGTCAAAGCACTGGTTTTTTAGTGGTGCGTTACTAAAGCGGTTAAACTGGTTCAAGTGGACCCACTGGGAACCATGATGAATCATGATGTGTCCCTCATCATCAGATGACCTCATGTGTGTGTGGAAACTCAGGAGATCTGGGCATGAACTATCCGAAGCAAGAGATCAAACTATCTCAAGATATCCCGAGCAAGGCCCCACTAACCTTGCCCCAGGTGGCAGGTTACTCCATCCAATCCATATGTTCAACCCTCTGACATTCTGTCTCCGACCGTTGCAACAAAGACGAGCAGTCCAGCCCCAGCCTCATCTCAAGGATAGCATCCAAACAGGTCAAGCAAATGGCTTGGGGGGCGCTACACAGAGGAACGAACACATCACAAGGTCAGAGTGGTGCAGCAAACCCGCTTCCATGGAACGGAGATGTCAGAGTGGACAGCAAATGGCTTGGGGGGCGGCCTTCGCTGATTTCATCAGCCAACCTTTAGGAGTTGGTGGACAGCAGCTGGACTCTTTCAGATCGGCCACCGCCTCGGTGAGGGTGTTCTTGGCAAAGCTGTTCCAAGCGGACTCCTGCGGAGAGGACCAAATTGATGAAGAACTTCCTCAGGAAATGTCTGGAGACCGAGTACAACAAAGTCATAGACTTCCTTCCACATAAAGTACATCGAAATACATCGAAATAAAACTCTTCTCGCTAGCTGCGTTCGCCACTTGATCGTCACTTCTCTCCCAGCTCCTAGATCTTTCGCCGTTGGAACCCCCCTCCGCTTTGGACTCAGAAACGAAACCTGACCTTGCCTGTGTGGAGTGACTGATCCCGGAAGCTCATTCACCGCAGGTACCTGGTATCTCACAGGGGGACTTAGGATATTCAAGCAGGCATCCTTGGAGGTAGGCATGCGACCATGGGCTTTTCCTCTGCTGGTCACTCCTTCCGTCAGTCCTTCGGGCCACTTAAGACCCAAGAGACACTGCGCATTTCCCATTTCCCCACGTGGCGAAAACAGGTGACTTCCCCAAAAGAAATCCCCCTTCACATAACGCAACGCACCCCAAAACATCTCACTCTCCCCAGCCTTTTTGAGGGTTCAAACTTCTCCAACCAACCAAAACCGCCGGCGAAAAACGCGACGGCCCAGCGGGGCCCAGCGGGTTCCTCGCTCTGGACCCACTCGGCAGCATCTTGCCGCACCGTCCGCTGCGACATCTGTGGATCCTCCACCGGCCCAACGTGAGACGGACCAACGGAAGCGAGAGGGACATCCGGACGTCCCGCGAGACGTCCAAGGTCGGAGGGCTCAGCTGGAGACCCTAAGAGACCCCAAGGTCAGTGAGTGGATGTGACTGCCGGGCACGACTCGGGCATTGGTTCACCGATCGGCACCCACTCTGCGAGCGCCGGGTGAACTGTGGGTGGAACAGCGGTCACCTCACCTCCAGGTCACTTGTTTAGATGACTAGATCTTGGGTATTTCACTTTACAGTATATAGAGTTATGTAATAGACCTTTAAATGACTGTTACAGTTCATTGGTAACACACAAACTAGATCTGTGTTCTTTTTCAGCTTCCCAGGAGAAGAAAGGTTGACCTACCCACTTGTTCATTGAAGACTTTTTTCAAGCGTAGGTTCTTCCGTTCGGGGCTACAGTAACCTGATCGCTTGAAACATTGAACTCCCGAAAGCAAGGCCATGTTGAGTTACTACTACAAAACGCAAGCATGGCCTTCCGAAAATGATTCAAGCAGTGTCACCCCCCCGAAAAAACACCCAGGCAGTGTCACCCTGCGCCTCCGGCTGATCCGTTTCTGCCTGGGCAGAGGCCACGGCAGGCCTTGGCACGGGTCAAAAGTAGATGGCACAAGTGACCCCGATTTTGGATTGATTTATATGGACTCCGATGACTCCGATGACATCGGGGGGGTGCCAGTTCCCATCGAGCCTCTGAAACCCACTGGTAATTGAATTTATATAAGAGGTTTGGGTGAGCCTGAATAGGGGGGTCACACGACACACTCTTTAAAAAATGGTTTCATTGCTTATAGCATCTTGTTGTCATGATCATATTGTATAAACCGTCATTCATTCCGAACAGATTTACAAAGCTATAGATTACCATTGGGAGTCATCCCCACGAGACTTCGGCGCGCTGGTGAACCTTTGGGCCCCCCCAAAAAGAAAGAATCTGCAAAAACCCTTCTCACCGCCCCCCACCAGCCAAGCATGGCCGCCTGGCAGGGTGAGGGTGGTCGCTCACCACGCCCATTCGGCCGGGCCACAGTGAGGGCGTGGTGCTCTCCGTCAACCCGGCGGTGAAGCGGTGCAGTTCCATGTCCTAAGCGCCGAAAAATCGAAAGAAAGGAGAGCCCAGCAGATGGCACGAGTTCGCCTGGAGGAAAACGTTGTGTTCTTATGGAAGTAAGTAGTTCTTATCGCTAAATCTGATGTTAAACTTGATCAGGGGAAGAGCCTCGAAGGTCCCAGAGGGTGCCTGGGACCTGCCGGCAACGAAACCATCAGCTTCGGCGGTCCCACCAGCCAGGTCCGCCCAGCGGGCGTTCTGGCCCAAGGGGCCCGAGGCTCAGCTTCTTCACCGATCTCGACAGATTTCACCACTCGGGTGACGTCTGGGTTTGACAGAACTTGACACCCTGCGGGGGGATCAGCACCCTCTCGTGAGGGAACGCCAAGTTCTGTTGCGGATCAGCACCCCTATCCCAAGAAAGACAGCTTTGGTTCGAAAAGGGGTGAAAATTCCAAGTTCAGACACACCATTGGTCCCATGGCGGACCAGGCCTCTATCTATAGTATCTATAGGATCTAAGGACTCCAAGGTAGGATTTTGGAATGTTCCTCAGAATCCGGGCCCGGACCCATGGATTTTAGGCTTTTTGATATGTTCCTTGAGGGGTCCAAACCCCTGTGAAGGTGTCGGGTCCGAAGGTGTCGGGTCCAAGGATGGGGAAAAATTGATGAAGAAATGGAGAATTGGGTATGTATGGTCTGTTTAAAAACACGTGTGATGGGTTTTAATCTTATTATCCATACCATAAATCTATATTGTTCGCTACTAGGGGCTCCTGGCATCGCTACTAGGAGCGATCGGACGCTACGAACAGGGCTCCTGGCCTCACTACTAGTAACAAGAGGTGTATATATATATAATGTATATATATATAAATCCAAAATGTCTTGGATGTTCCTGCACCTTCACCATCCATGCATTTCCTGCACCGGTCCAGGTCCTGCACCGGCTTCCGCATGGTGGCCGTGTCGGGGTTCCCTTTGGTCATCCTGAGGCGCCGGGATGCCCCCGGGCGGCGCCGGCGGTGTGAAGAGTGGATGCAGCGGTTCCGGGAGAAAGGATGTGTGAAAAGGATTGAAAAGGGTGCTTGCAGCAATCTAAAATCAGGTCCTAAATCAGATTTGGCTGTGTTGGTCCCCACAGAGCTGGTTCGCTTCGTAGATGGGAGTGAACCCTTTTCTCTTCGTCTACGGCGCTAGTTGCAAGGCTAGCCCTGCCCAAAGAAATGGGGGATCGTCAGTGTCACTCCCAACTATGGAAAACCTGTCTCAACACCTGCAGCAAGTACTCAGTGCTCAGAGCCTCTTCCTTCATTCGAACAACCCGCTGGCACCATCTTCAATACATCTTCCCCAGCCCATCCACTCTGAAAACAAACCCCACGTTCAACCTCAAGCCCCCCCTGGGTGGGTCTGGGTCTTCCCACTTTTGTGACTTCAGGAGCACCGCTTCCGCATTCTTGCCCAAGGTCACGGACAGTGGGTGATCCTGCGGAGAGGTGGCGGGAAGAAGAAAGTTCCAGCAGTGCAGCACTCAGCAAGTGAAATGCCTGCCAAAGTATGTTTGGTTAGATGAGGCTTGTGACTCACATTTGGTATAGCTACATTATAGCGACATTGCTACATAAATTAGAGTTATAGTACGCTTACTAGTTATAGTCTATAGAATGGTTGAGATGTTTGTTCGCTCATTCATTCACACTCGGACACTCGATCGTCTAAAGTCTCACTCACCACCAAACAGAAAGAGCCAACTCCTTTGGTCCCAAACGCGCTCACCAAACCAACCACCAATCACCAAACCATCTCCAACTAGATCATGAACCAGCCAGCATCTTTTGGGGCATTTTGGGCCACATTCCCCCCAACCAGGTTGTGGCATCTTTAGCGCATTCTCGGAGCCAACCGCATGCTGCGTTGCACCTCCACCTCCACCCTCCGCCACCGAACGGAACGAAGCCCCCTCAAGCCGCCTCTCCCAGGCAGCGCTTGGCCACCTCGAAGCCCTGATGGAAGGCCGCCGCCGCCTCGGTGTGAGCAGTGGCTCCGAGGCGAGGCGCGCCCGCTTCGGCGCGGTTGGTTGGTCTGGAAGGCCTGGAGGAAGAGGGTGAAAAACAAACTGGATCCAATCCCAAAATACATGGCTGGCATATGAATATGGGTCAACTAGAATTTTGGTTCCATCCCATGGGGTACTTTTGATTGGTAAATATATAGTTGTAAAATACATGCAAACACATACCTGGACCATCCTGTCTGCGTGTCCTCTCTCGTGTCCAATCCATGTAGTCCAGAAAGGACACCCCAAACAAATGGTCCTAGTGTGCAACTGGGCGCATGATGGCGGATGAGGATGAGCGGAGTCAAGCTGGATTGAAATGGATCTGACAACAAGTCGCAGGAACATCAGGAACAGCGCCCTGTACCAGCTGCCCTGGAATACTGGTATCTCTCGTTTGGGTTCAGCGTGGTTCAGCAGCACAGGACAGGAAGGCAACAGTCAGCAGTGTTGCACCATATTGCACTGCAGCTGAAGGTGGTACCGTGGCGGACACAAGGTTGGATGAAGATGCAAGAACGAGCAAGGATGATACTAGATGATACTAGTACATTGGTTCACTCTCGCGCTTCAGTGAGATGTGGGGCAAGTGTGAGGATGAAAAAGACATGAGGGTGAGCGAGAGGACAAGGACAAGAGACGGTTGGAGCCGAAAAAGTGGGACCAAAGCCGCAATTCCAAAGAGGTGCTTCATGGAGGATAGGGGTTCCAGTATTCACGTAGCTCCTCCGTAAATGAAAATGACTAAAATTGCATCAAATTACGTAGCTCAACGTCAAAACTTGGGCACTCCAAGTACAGCAGTTGATGAGGATGAGGATGAGGATGAGGATGAGGTTGAGGAGGCGATCAATTCAACTATATAGATTGGAGTCAACACCCCCATGACAGTCATGGGACAGTCGGCGGGCCTTGTCGTACTGATGCAGCAAATCCCGCTCAATCGCCACATTGTGGTACCTGAGCAGCCCAGACCGACCGACCCGGCCCATGCAGTTCACGTGCAGTTGTGGGTGGAGATGTCTTCTCCAAAACCCTTTGCAAAACTGAAATTTCCACAAGTTCCAAAGGGGTGGTCTCCAAAGACCCCCAAGTGGTCGGGAAGATCGGCACCCACGGCCCGGACGGCCCGGAGCATTCCTTCCTGAAGGCACCCAACTCCCAATGGAACTGCTGCTTCATTTCGGCCTTCCTTTTGCAATCGGACAGTGCTTCCCATTTCGTCCAAAACCTGAGTCCTCGTCGTCCATCTTAGCGGCCCACCCGCCCCCAGCTCTTCACCGTCTCTCCCGCTCCACTGAGTCCGAGCAGCGCGATCGCGAGGACGGCGTAGTCATCCTGAAGTGGTTCACCGGCCCAAGAGGTTTGGAGTTGAAGTCCGTGCTGGTCCCCTTGTGCTGGACTTCTATTGGTGTGAAACCAAGAACCCATGACTTATAACTATACATATACCTTCAAAGGAAAGTCAAGAACTCACATTCTGCTGGTAATTCCACAAACACGAACGATTGCACAAAATTCATCAAGATTCCATACTCAGTCCATGCAAACAGGTGATTATAATCATCAATCGCTCACGTCAGCAACAAAACGACAACTTGAGATTCCCCGCAGCTGGGATCGTTGCAGGATCTGAGCTGCTAGTCTTCCTGGCGATCCACATGATGTTCCGTGGCGGATGTATTACTGATACTGTTGAGGGAAAACACCCTGTCCCACTTGGGATTGCTCATGGTGGGAAGATGCGTCTACCCACTGAGCACACTGGACACAGGAAAGGGCGGCCCGAACATGGAAGCCATCGACAAATGGCATGGGCAGTGCATGGCATGCCTCCCTGTTTTCCCATGAACTCCTCCCCTGTCAAAGGGCGTTTTCCGCTATAGTTTAGAGCCTGTCGATCAGCTCCAATGCCGCAAGCGCATGCTGGACGGCCTGGATGGTGTCCCAAGCTGGAAACCGAGACAGGACGGACGATTGACCACTGGGGTGGTGGATACTTAGGATTGTTTGGAATGGAAAAACACTTGGGCTATATATTTTGACTCATGCTTGGCTTCGCATCAAGCATTCCTTGAAAATGCCCGGCAAGCCTCTCCCCAAACACCAACCCCCTTCGCCATTGCATCCTTTCTCATTTCTCCCGAGTCATCTCCAGTGCCTGCCATGGCTCGCGCCTTGTCATGCTTCTCGAGCTTCGAAAGGATGGCACAAATGTTGAGGTTTGTGCCTTGTGGGCCAGCTATAGGGCGTTGGTGTTTTCATCCTCCGATAAGTCGATAAGTGTATGCAAATGATGGTAGAGATGGTAGAGGAAACTTCGGAACACTTCATCATCATTGGGTCAATATTGAGCCTGCCTCGGTTCAATTGTTTACCCGCCACTGTAATTTGTTGAATTCAGTTGTCCACAAACCATTGTTCGCTCGGATATCGATTGAATCCCAACCAATGACAATCACCACCAGCTCCTTCCGCACGTTTCCTCTCTGGCAACCCTCTGCAATTTCGGGTCCACACCAAGAACCGTTCGAACCACATCCCTTGGCTTCGCGGCTTTGTGGCTCGAACCACGAAGCCCCCCGTGCTAGCGGCTTTCGTCACCCGTCCACAAGGGTCGCCGTTTGGACACGGCCCACGTGACCTGCCAAGGTGACCTCGTCGGTGCCCAGATCCACCTGGTGAAGCCCAACGAAATGAAGCTGGCGCCAAGCAAGAGGGTGCCAAATCCCAGGACTAAGGCACCTGAAGCGTCATTGGTATCGGTATCAACCCTTTTGTAAGTCCTACTCCGGACTATAGTCACTGAATGTCACAGACTTGTTGCTTCATCGATTATATGACATATATCTCCGCGACTCTTTCCTTTGGAAGCTGTTGGGAGTCGGCATTGAAAAGAACAACCAGTTCGCGCCATCCGATGGCGGCCTGGCGCTGTGAAGAGAACCCCTGGGCTCCAAGGCGTGATCACGGCGCGGACACCGCGCACAGCGCCTCCATCTGCAGGGCTCTTCGCAAGTAGCTCAAAGCCCCATGGAGCTTCCCCACCTGACAGATGGTTTCCCCTATTAAACACACCCAAAGACGTGAGTTGAGAGGAAACCCCCCTGAAACCTATGTGGCCTATGTGGCCCACCTGTTTGGAGTGGTCACCCGAAGTCCCAAAGAAGCCAAAATGACAAGACAAAATGACAGCGAAATGGATTTGAACCCGCACACTGGCGCATAGACGGAACACAAACGCCGTAGACCGCGTAGAGCATGGTGATCATGACCAGGAAGTCTACTCACATGCAGGGCTGCTTGGTCATTGACAAAAATGGTTCATTTGTAGATAATATGTCAGACCACTCAAGCACGGCGTGACCTTCTTGTAGTAGCACCCGAGGTTGTTGCAGGTCACCTCAGCCAGTGTTGTTGGAAAGGCTGGACCCTGTTTTAATGGAGTCTTGTGATCGGACAAGACCAAAGCAAAGGGAGTGTAAAATGATAAAATGCTTTAATTGGTTGGTTGAACATACCTGCACCATTCAAGGGGTGTCCAATGGACTAGCCTACACTGCTTGGGGAGCTCCATTAAACACCCATTGTGGCCTGGGTGTGCTATTGTGAGCAAGTGGGCTCACTTCCTCAGCCAGCCATTCTCAGCCAGGTGTGGTCATCCAGCGGCGAAGATCCTGATCCATCCTGGGCACCCCTGCAGCTGCTAGGCTCGTTCCACCTATAGGCGGCATCCGGGGCATTTGGGGGGGCCATGAGCTGGCCCCAAATGGACCCTTACAGGACAGTTTGATGGTGTTTGACTACGAAAAGAAGAAACCACAACCATAGTGTATGACTAGGAAAGTCTGCCAGATGGCTTATGGCCCATGGCTACAATTAGCCTAGAAGTAGCCTAGATATACAGTGACTCTTTTCCCACCATTGCACATGCTTCACTCCAGCCAACTGCCGAGTAGAATGCAGCCACGTGAAATCATGTAAAATCTTGAAAGTCCACCCTGGGTTTGATGACGGTCCGACCTGCAAACAACTCAGGTTCCAATTTTCCAGGGGGCAGTTCTGATGAATGGATGTTCAGTCCTGATCTCCCAGCTAGCTTTAACTGCCACAGCATAGCAGGTATATAGGTGAGGTGAATTTCCCCAAGGTGTCGGTGAGTTGCCCGCAACGAGAGACGAACAGACACTTCGGACCGTCCAAGACTGGCTCGGGCTCGGTGCCAAACCCGCAGTCGCAGCAACCCACCGAAGTGGAAACCTCCCACGGTTCCGTGGTAACCCTGTCAACCTGGAACCGGATGTTGCTCTCAACCCGGCGAAGCTCCTGGACACCGGATTCAATCCGATTCAGTGCATTCTGCATAATTCCCCTTCCCTTCGTCGTTCGCAGATGTGAAACCCGTCCCATCTTTGAACTATGCATGAGCCATCTCAGCTCCCAACTTTCTGCTTGGTTGGCGATGAGGATGGCTTCCGCATATTTGAACTGCTCAAAGGCCTCAACCGACAGTCGGACTGAGAGGGCAAAAATGAGAGCCAAGTTTCCAGGAAACTGCGGCCAAAGCAAACTGCTGGCACTCCACTGGAATCTCTCAACAGGTGTGGTCGAAGGTCCTATCAAGAGCCATAGTCCCTGGTTGACAGCCGGGCGGTCTTTACCAGAACATCATGGAACACGGTCCATGACCGTCCATTCTTCTACCAGGCTCTTCAGAGCCCTATAGTATAATATACATATACCAGGACCCTCCAACAGGTCTCCTCTGGTGGCTTTTGGAGACTTTAAAGTCGCGGGTGGTGACCTGTAGAGTCGGGTGCTGGTATAGACTATCCATGACTATCCCCATATAGGTCACCCTGGGTCGAACGACCGTAAGTCTATCCATCACATCACCTGCCGGACCGTCCAAGGCCCCGGGCCGCTTTGGATTGGCCTTTCCGTAAGGCTTCCATGCCATCCCGGTTGCAGGACAGCACCTCAGCGGGATCACCAACCGCCATACACGCACACACACACACACACAAACAAACCGCATGAGATCCAATGGTTGAACGAAGCAGAGGATGGAGAGTTTGGAACCGGGTGCTTTTTCTGAGGATTTCTGCCACGCGAACGACAGGAAGCCGGTCGGCGTGGGTTTCCATTCGTGTCCCCCATCGTTTCTCGTGGATCCCTGTGGATTGAATAGATATGAATAGGTTCGGGAGCTCCCCTCCAAATGCTGAGATCCCTGGTGAGCTGGGTCTATGATACCCTGATACCCACCCAAAAATACACCCACATACACCCATTCGACTAGAGCAGCTGTCTAAGAGAAGAACAGGACGTTCGGACGAATGGGAAGTCACTTTCGGTATAGTAGTCACATCCCACGTTCCAGCACGGACCCAGCAGCCAAAACGGCTACATACGGGCCACCTTAAAGGACTTTAGTTATCATATGCTACATACGGGGGCTGTCTCAAAATAGGACCCCATAGATCTCTGGCCGAAAACGAACGAACACTTGCAGCGGAACGGGCATAGTTCTTCATGTTCATTCAAGCCATTGTGATGTGTATATATATATATATACATGTACCCACCTATGGTCCCATGAAGTGCCATGAAGTCCCATGAAGTCCCATGATACCCGTTGGCACCCTTCGAAACATGCTGCACCTCGATGTACCCATCCAATCTCTCCCTCAGCCGGACGCCCCGAAGCCATGGACGACCCGAAGCCCGACACCGGCCCGGGGCCCCCCGGCTAAAGCATGGAAGTCCTGTGGCACCGCACGGTGGTCGAGCGGGACAGGACCGGCGAACCGGAGCCCAGCCGGTCGCGGAGCGCACACGCCATGGAGGAAAGACTCGCCAGGATTCGGAATGCAAGGCCTGACAGTATGGCCAGGAAAGGGATCAAAAGTGTGGCCCTGACAGTCTTTGGCGCTTGGGACTCATGGGTGTTTCTTGTGTTTTGGTCTCTTGCGGACATGACTGGCATTGGAGCAGGACATGGCAGGACCACGACCGACCCCTGAAACAGGCTCTGTGTACGGCTCGTTTTTCCATCGCTCTGGCACCTCACATCGCTCTGGTGCGAACGAATTCCGGAGTGACCTACAGCAACTCGGAGGACGCACAGCCTCCACAGCAAAGTTCCTCGAGTGACCCTAGAGTGACCCTCCACAGCAAAAACCTCAACCGCCCATAGACTCAAGTACATGAGGATGTGTCGTGACCCACCATGTTCACTCCACCAGTCCATCAGGTATTGACCATCCATGACCACCATCAACCGTGACCTGGGAGACCGACCCACAGCCACATGGGTGTTGGAGTATCCTGAATCGAAAAGACCCGGGAAAATCAGAGGTCCTACGATTTGAGCAGGTCGTGTCCAGGGGTTAACCACCAACAGCACAGTGAAACACCATAACCACTATAAAGGGTCGTGAAACACTATATTATATAGCTAATTGGAATAACAGTGGGAATTGGCCATCCCACTATAACCACTTACAGTGGTTTCAGAGTAGATGGCACAAACCCCAAAAGGTGGCTTATATGGACCCCCATCTCAAGGACATCTTGGGGTTTGCGCCATCTACTCTGAAACCACTTTTGGTGGAATGACTCGACCGCCCCTCCACTACCACCCGGTCCGCTGGCGCGCCGCCGGCGCTGGGCGCCAGTGGCGCCAGCGCGCTCGCCATGGGGGGCGGAGCGACCTGACAAACCGCGAAGCTTCGGTGGCTAAGCCGGCTAAGCGAAGTTGAAGTGCATTGAGATACCTTGAGAGATACCCCTCAACGGCACTCATCGAATGTCTGTCGACCAGACAGCGGTGTCTGCGGTGCTAAACACACATGAGGATGGTCGTGGTGATTGGATAGGGCACCAGTACTAGTACAGTACTTTCCAGAAAGTTCATCCTTTAACCTCGACTCTTGTGTGGTAGCTTAGAGAGAGGCCATACAAATCCATACAGCCTCTTCCCGTCTCAGTGACGCGTTCGAGTAAGTAGTGTTGGCCAACTAAGGTCTATTCCACACGCTGAGCAGCTCAGCCGAGCTCCACGTGGTTTGATCAAACCCACTCACTGGGTCAGCTACTTCCCACAAGCTACACTCCCTGGAATCCTCATGGTTACGCGGATGGCATGGCCTTCACTGCTTCGGGTGAGCAAAACGGGAGGCTTCCACTCCAGGAAGCCATGAGAAAGAAAGGGCGGATCCTTAGTGCAATTGAAACCACTATCGAGCCTCTGAAACCACTGTATATACCCTAGAAGTCCAAAGACTATTTTCGGCACCACCCAAGTAAAGGAAGTTCCTTTTCGGATCGCCTAAAGACCGTTTCAAATGGTCTTGGACTTCTATGTCCAGTGGCCAAAAATGCTCAGTCTTCGTGTCCACAGCGGAGCTCGGGTCAGGCGCTCCCGGCGTCTTGTCAGCTCCGACCGCCTCGGGACTTTACGGTCAAATGAAGGTGCGGCCCTAGCCCCACGATAGATGAGAGGAGACGGAGGGTCGTTTTCATCACGCGACTCATGGGATTGGCATTGTATCAAACCTGTTGCTACCCGCAGATTTCACATCATATCTACTCAAGGATACAAAAGATCTAAAGGAGTGTCTGGGAATGGGAGCATTGGTGGGTGAAGTTGACCGAGAATTTCGTTGATAGAACAGGTCTTGGGAAGTCCACCATTTGAAGTTTGGGATCCGGTGCAAAGGCCGCCTGGTTCTTGGGTCTGGGCCCTTGGGGATGGAAAAACGGGTGAAACCGTGCGCGGTATGGGCGGTAGGGCTGAAATTGAACATCACCGCTGGTCATGTTAGGCCCGAATCCTTCGGAGACACGTCGACAGGGGATCGATCTGCAGCTTCAGATCCTTTCAGCGTCGTCTGATCCTTTCAGATCCAGAGGGATCATCCGAAGGAAACACTTAGTAACAAGAAGCTACTAGGAACAAGTGCATCACTATACTAGTAACAAGTGCCTTACTAGTA